CGGAGTTGCCAGCCCAAAGTGGGGTAGCGAGGCATGTACAGCCAAAAGGTGAAGAGTACCTTCAGCTCGGGGCGGAAGTACCGCGCGAACCGGAGGTTTTATTAAAACCTTAAGGTGTTGAAGATTGCTCGATGCAGATAATGTTCCCAAACATTGTCGTCAAACATAACGCCGATTCAAAAGTAGTAGATGCAAGAATGGACTGCGCCGAGTGTCATGTGCAAGTGGAGCTCAAGGATTAGCGCCCGGTCTCAATATCGTGATTTGAGGTGAGTGTTTCGCTTTCCCAGTTGTAATGATCGTCCACGGGGCTCAAAGAGCCCGATGAAACGGACGATGAAGAGCCCACGGTCCACTCGTCGCTGTCCAAGTTGAGGTCGCCATCCAGGCTGGCAAGATCATACCCGGACTCGCGGGAAGAGTCACCGACCTCAACATAGTCGTAGTCCCAGCGGAACATCTTATCGGCCTGGACTCGCGGCAGGAATCGAGTCTTGGCATAGTAGAAGGCAACCGTGGCAAGCAGACCACCGCAGACCAGATCAACTGCATAGTGATGCGAAAGATACATGGTAGCCCACCACATCCACAGGGTGTATGTGACCCAGAGGGGCTTCAACCGCGGGAAGACGTGGCTCATGAAGAGTGCTGCCAGTGTGGAATCGGCAGCATGGAGCGAAGGGAATGCACCAAAAACAACAGGGGACTGCTTGAAGCCCGAAGTGTAGAGATCGATACCCAGCAGCTTGTCAATGCGAGCAAGACCAGCCGGATTTCCTTGCATCGAGTAATCGGCTGGGGCCAAACCGTACAGATTTTCATACCAGGGTGGCGAACAGGGGAAAGCCAGCTGAATGAAGACGGCGGTCATGCTAATGTATCCGAGAGTCCGGGCGTACAGAGGTGTAGTTCCCGGGGGGCCGAAGAAGAAAAGGATGAGTGAAACGACGAATGGCGCTCCGTAATGGCAGAGTCCGTAAGGAATCCATGCCAAAATGTCAAGCACCACATTTTGGTGGGCAGATAGAATGTTACTGATGTTGGCACCGTACAGGATGTTTTCCATGGCTGGCAACACTCGGACCCAAATTGCAGGCCGCCAATCGCTTGGAACGAACCTAGAGAAACATGTTAGCGATGTTGAAATCCCAGCTAATTGCTGCTCACGCCACAGGGCCATGGCAAGCGCATATGCTGCAGGAAACACAAGAGAAAGGAAAACTTACTGGCAACCATAGAAGAAGATAAGCCACCCAGCAACGGGAAGGAAAGGCAAGAAGAATTGCCGGGTGATTGGCATCAGGAGGGAGCACAAGAGTCCAGTGGCGATCGCAGTCTTTCCAAGTGGACCAGGAGATTGGATGATTGTCAAGGAGAAAATGCCGATAATGAGGAGCAATAAGTATTGGAAGTCATACAAGGTCCATCGGTGTGCCTGTAAGGATCTGAGGGTGTCGGCGGGCGAGAACGAGGTTTGCAACCTCGATATAGACGAAGCGGGCGAAAGGCGGCTTCGGAGTTTGGACCGGAGCTTGCGACGCATGCGATGTGGTACCAGGAGCTGGAACGAACGCCATGGCACTTGGATTTGAAGCTTTCCAAAGTGATGCTGTGTGCGATCTTTCCATGACGGATAGGAGGCGCTCATGTTTGCGGCGACTCTCCTCCAGGAGGGTCTGGATCACTTTTGGAAAAGGGGTGGTTGAGACTTCAAGGAATTCCGCGGGACGAGACAGAGGGAAGTCGCGTAACGGAAGGAAGTTTATCGTTGGGAAGAAGAGAGGCTCCAGAAAAGGTGAGTTGGGCGCGAATAGGAAGGCGAAGGATCGAGGGGCGTGAGTCCCAGGGAAACTCAGGAGGTCACGTTGACAAGGGTTGGGATGCAAGGAGGAAACGCAACCGAGAGAACCCAGGATAAACAGCACTCGAGAAGACCAAGGAGACCACTTTAGACCCTGAAGCGGAGATATTAAAGAATTAAAGAGGAAAGATGGAGAGAAGGAAGGGAAAGAAAAGAACTGGATCTCACGAAGCCTTGTATTGGTATTACCAGCAGCTAAGTTTTGTGTAATTTTGAATACATGCGTGTAGTGCTACTTTCCCTCTTTCGTAGGTCTATGGCGTCACTATTTGGTTTGGGTTTTATTTTTTCAGGTACGCAACCTGGAAGTCGGTCTTTCTAGCTTGTCCTATTGCAATGCTGACCGGAGCTCTCGGCAGTATTCAATAATACAGTGGACATCCGGTCTGAGGGTTTAACTCGGAAGCCACGGAAGCCACGGAGATCACAATTCTGGGCATATCTCGGACTTTGTAATGCCAATGGTCCGATGTTAGTATGTTCATGCAGAGACTCCGAGACTCCCGAGAACGTCATTTATGGCTTATTTATATTGTATATTTATATTGTATATCGCATAGTTATATAGATATAGATAGCATCTCCTCATATCAACCTCAATGACCTAATTCTGCCTAATTAACTTCAATCGTGATATGTGGTTTGTAAATTACCGACACGAAAATTTCGCAAATTTTCCATATAAGATCCATCGCCAGGCTCTGATTGGCTGTTGCTCCCTTGCCCCCATCCTGAGTCCCGGTATTGAAATCCATCCGACCTCTTTAATTTCGCTTATGCACAACTTGTAACATCTTACCAGTTCAACCGTCGTCCTGGTGATCGAACCAGCTCGCCTCATACGAAGGCAATCGGCCCAACGCCCAACGCCTACTTTGTAGATGCTACTCGTATACTGTATAGGCATTGGCATTGGCATTGGCATTGAGGAAACTCAGCCCCGGTTATGCGGTTGAGCCACACACGATCAGCACTCAACAGTCCTAATTTGACTGACACTATTAGTGCCGTTTTACATGGGGCCAGCGCTTAGATGAGGACGTGCCTTTTCTCAGGGGATACCAACCTCCTGATTTAAACAGCAACCAGTGTACTCCGTACTCCGTACAACCACCTCTGCCGTAGAAAGAGATTACACTATAAAAGACGGGACAGTTGATTGAATATACTTTCCACCCTCGACTCCGCGTTTCAGTATCGCGCGCCCGCAGCCAATTACCCCTTGGCTTCATAATCTAGCGTCAAAGCTCCCTGGGGATTTTACAATAGGCAGTCGCTATTCCGGACTCCGTACTCCGTACAATGCTCCGTATCCCGAGGCTTATTATTACAATATTTTACTCGACTATTGTATTCATCTTTCCATCGAATCTGACAGCGCGCGTTCGTATTCGTATCTGGAGGCGGCTGCCTAGAGTGCCCAAGTGATGTAAGGCTGATGTGTAGAGCTGCGCCACAGATATGAAGTCAACTTGCAGTATCCCCAACCTAAGGTTTTGTTCGCCTTGCTACTAGGCCTTATCGGGATTTGGCTGCAGGTCAAGAATGTAAGATATGTGATCCTACTTGTAACTCACTGCTTCGTTGTCAAGATATGCAAATGCCAGAGACTCGATTTGCGTGCAAAAGCCCTTGGCATTACACAGGCTTACATGTCACATTTAATAGCTCTGGGATTACGCCCGTGCTTATTTGATACGACCGTTTCTGCGTCGTCGATCCTACCAGGCTATCATACTACGTCCCCGCAAACCCGATGCGGTCGGTGGGGGAAAATGACTACATACGCCGTACATTTGCATTTTCCCTCATTTCTTACGACAAAATAAATAAATTATAAAGAGAGCGTTTACATTCTCGTAGCCGTGTGCTGTGCCAAGTATAGGCTACCCTGTAATATGTCAAGGTTGTACATGCGCCGAGCTAATTATACCTCTTTCTCGAGGTCGGCTAAGCGCTTCTCTCGTCATTCATTGCATATGCTGCGGCCACGGAGATGAACAGGATAATAATGGAGGCTTGTGCATTCTGTTCGGCGCTTAGCTTGAGAGTCTGCTGCCTAGATAATTATTCGATATATATACAATGACTATCTTCTTTTTCACTTCAGTCTAAGCCCTCATATCTACCACCCCACGCATCAGGCTACCGGGATACTAGTTTGACGCAAAACTCCAAAAATTTACAGCATATCTTCTCATTTATTGCGTTCAATATGTCGTCCACAGTTTCAATTTATGTCGCCATCAGCGTCAGCGAGGGCGTTTACAAACACTGGGGTGTTTTCATCGATGCACCCCAAGAAGAAGACAAAATTTTCCTCCAGGTGGCGGGTTCTGATGGTCGATTCCGCTATGAGTTGGAAGCAACAGATGTTCGACAATCGGAAAGACTAGTGGAGTTGCTTTTCCTATATGATATGGACGTCACCGAAATCAACTCCATCCAGACAGTCGCTAGTCAAGTCACCGTTCACAATGAGATTCGGGGCTGGAATTGCCAAGACTACGTACTTGATCTTCTGGAGGCACTAGAAAAAGAAGGGATAGTGAACGGCAAGGACGCAGGTTACAAGAAGCAGAAAGATTTACTTCATGGAAAGCAGGAAGGGCTGGCATAGGACGTGTTCTCCTTTCTGATTTGTGATAATTTGCGCCCTGTTATCCTTATTAGATCAGTCTCTTCAGTCAATCATGGCAAGGCGCTTGGGTGGTCTGTGGAAAGGTACCAATGAGTGTCAAAATGATGAATGCCTTGTCCAAAGGCATCACCATAGCAAAAGAGCTCAGCGGCCTGACCTTTCTGGCACTCAACATGGCAGCAATATGTGAAGCTCATTAACGCTATTCTGATGGTTGATAACCCCTGTGGTACGCAGGTGTCGGTTTTTACTCTAATATTAGGACAGACAATATCATGGTGAAACAAGATCCCTGTATGAATTTCCGCTAAATTGTTGCTAGAAACATTGACTGGGAGAAAAACAGCAATTGAGTGACTGAATCAAAGTCCTCATTCAATTTTAGTTTGCAAATCAAGATGAAACCCCTAACGCCAGCCGATGTATCGTTGTAAACCGAGAAAAAGAAAGCCGCCCAGCGCCAACACCGTGAAATAGTAATGAGTCTTCGATGGCCGCTCAGTCATGTTTGTGGTCTTCATGACTATCAGCCAGCATCTGGAAGCCCTTCACCAGCCCCATTGCAGAACCAGCGGCGATACCGCCGACTAGTACCATTTGTATACCTCCAATGACACCCTTGCGGATATTTCGACGACCGCGCCAGCCACTGACAAAGCATGTCTTTACATAGCCGAAGATAAACAGTGCAATGACCATGGTAGCAATGGACCAGCGCAGGGCGATGAAGGCTTCATGGGGTCCGACGAAAAAGTATGGTATGAGAGGAATAAATCCACCGATAAAGTATCCCAAGGCAATTGTAAAGGCACAAACGATAGCTCGAGAGCCCGAGGGCTCGGGCAGAGTGTGGTGGAAGTTCATGAGAAAGGATGGAAGCATAGGAGAGTGAGAAAGATGATTTTTGAGTTGTGCAACCAGTTCAGATGGCAACTCGTAGGGCTCAAAAATGTCGGAGATGGTGTCAGATACAGACGCGGGATCCGTCAAAGTCTGCGTCTCCGTTTCTTTCAATGTAGCTTTGTATGACTCCCTAGGAAGATGTCAGCTGTCAAATCTCCAATAGTTTCCCTAGTATATTTTCATAAGAGGTAGGCGTTCAGGATTTAGGCAGACTTACTCCTCGCTTTTAGCACCTAGATACCCACCGAGTCCCATCGATATCGCTCCTGCGATGAGTTCTGCGAGTCCACCGAAAACAACAATTTTGGTATCGCCCAACGCAGAGAGTCCAGCCGTTAGGGCGAAAGGCACAGTCATGCCGTCGGAAAGACCGATGATGGCATCGGACACGGTGCGACCGTCGAGAATGCGAGACGACCTTCGCTCCGAGTCATTGTGACGGTGTGTGTTGTTCCCTGCCTCGATATCCGGTCGAAGTTGAGCACGAGGGTCCTTTTCATCTTCCGAAGAAGCTCTGCGATCGGGAAGGGGCATATAACTCGACATTGGGCCGAATAGGGAACTGATTAACACGTTGAGTTCGGAGGGATTGAAGACTGAAATGAAACCTTGCAGTATCCCTTGAAGAAGACCTGGGAATGTTTGTTTAAGTGAAAGCGAGGGATACAGCGCGATTAGAGAATCAGCCAGTTAGAGCACGCGATGCAATCATGAGGCTTGCCATGCTTGCAACCTCATATATTGTCAGAGAAGTGATCAGCTCCCACCGTTGACCACAGCCTATCGAGTGACACAGGAAGACAACGTGCTTGGCGTTCCCCTCATGGCCAGGGCACGTGCAACGCTGATTCGAGGAGGTTCAGCTTTGGTATGGGGCCATGTGGGGCCATTAAAGGGACTCCCGCTGCTTAACTTGGGGTGTGGGACCAATCAAAAACGACTATTTCTAATCCAGACCCCTTTCGTCCATGGACTCCGCACGGGCTCACGTGTGAATATAAACTATACCCGTTGCCAGCCCTAAGAGGTTACGGTCGGATATTGCGAGACATTCTGAGGTTAGTGGCAATATCGCTTAGACTTCGTAGTCTGGAAGAGTTTTCACCGCACGTGGGCTACTGGGCATGGTATATCAGGGTTGAAATTAAGTCCGATGATGTTATTTTCTTGAACCCATGAGGAACATTGATATCCAGCTGAGCATGACTTTCACCTCTGAGTCCTCTGACTCTGTGGCAGGTGATAGTGTAGGTAGATGTAGAAGAAATAAGGTAGTTGTAAACATATTTCCTTTCTTCACTTCTTCACTTTTTCTTTTGCTTCTTCGCACTATTCACAAAGGAGCTCACAGCCTCGCGTTGAACAAAAGCAACAATGTTCTTCTACTGGGGCTTCATTATTCTAATGGCTTTGGCCAGTCTTACATCCACTCATCCAACTGGGAATACTCAGGTGTGGGGCCAGCTGCGAGAGAACGTGAGTGGATCGCACAGCATATATAATCCCGAAGAACCAGTTGGCTTATAAGAACACTCCCAGATCAAGCATGTCATCTATCTGACTCTTGAGAACCACTCGTTTGACAACATCGCTGGCTATTGGGACTTCCACCCAGAAATTGACAATCTGCGCAATCTCACCTTTTGCAATGACTACACCAACCCCAATTGGACAGTCTATGGGGAGCCACTAGCAATCTGCGCTGAACCGGATGCAACCGAGGTGCCGCTAAAAGATCCGGACCACAACTTCGGCGGAGTCACCTACGAAATCTTCCGCCAGTGGAACCCGACCAAAGAGGATGTCCCTAATATGGCAGGTTTTATCGAGCGCCAATCGGAGAAGTACAATGCTACCCCTGGAGATTCGGCATTCGTGATCAAGGCCTTGAACCGGAAGAAGACCGCCACTCTGGTGGAGCTGGCAAGCAATTTTGCCTTTTTTGATACATATGATATATATTATTGCAGAAAACTGACTGCCGACCCTACCTTGCAGTTCGCCGAGCACCCGGGTCCCACTAACCCTAATCGACAATTCGCAACCTCCGGCTCATCCTGTGGTTTTGTCGATAACACTGATCAGTCCGCTGGGTTCTGGAACAATGTGACTGGGACTACTTGTGCGGTCTCGATCTTTGAATCGCTCAGCAAGAAAAATATCAGCTGGAAGAATGTGAGATAAGTCTGGTTCCTTTGTACTGACAACTGGCTAAACATTTCTATGTAGTACTACGAGACCGATATCGTCGATGGATTCATGTATAAAGTTAGTACTCCCTGTACTCCTCCAATTGCCAGATCGGTGACTAACGATAATATCAAGTGGGTGCAAGACAACGCAATGGACCGTCTCGTCCATGAGACAGAGCTGTACCATGATCTAGAAGCCGGCACCTTGCCTGCATTCTCCTATCTAAACCCGGAGTGCTGTACAGTTGACTCAATGCATCCTACCAGCAGCATGGCAGCAGGGGAGCAGATGGTCAAGCACTTATATGATGCCCTGCGTCGCTCCAAGTACTGGGACAATGCGTTGGTTCCGTTATCCTCATGTTGAGTGCGGTAATACTAACACTGAAATATAGTGTTTTGATCATCAATTTTGATGAGCACGGTGGATTCGCTGACCATGTCCCCACTCCAGTCAATGTGCCTCAACCCGAAGACGGCATCATCTTCAATGGCACGTCATCAAACCACAATTTTACGTATGACTTTACACGTCTAGGAGTCCGGTATGCATTCTCGTCCCAATTTCAGCTTCACCGTATGAGTATTCGGCTTACCTTCGCATCATAGTGTCCCTGCCTTCATAATCTCACCTTGGGTACCCGCCAACCTCCTCATCCATGATCGAGGTACCATGTATGCCGACGATTCGGCCTACACACACAGCTCAATCCTACATTTTCTACAGGAGTTGTGGGGGCTTGAGGGCTTAAACAACAGAGTTCAGTGGGCCAAGACTTTCGAAACGGCTTTTACCGACAAGCGGCGAGACGATACGCCCAAGACATTGGTTAAGCCGACCTGGTATGGTGGTAGTGGGCAGCCAGAGCCGGAACCGTTCTTCCTTTTGAACCAGGATGAGAGCTACTATGCACGCCGCAAGGCCCAGGCTAAGGCATAAGGGATGAAAGTGGAGAGTTGCTATATTGATAGTGCAATTATGGTGGAATACCAAGCAAATCCTTGAGATTTCGGGCTCGAAGCGGGAATCTCTCGTTCTATGATATCAGCCAGTCTAATGGATTGGAAAGATGCCTACCCAGTACACTTATTCACAGGGTCATCATAATACAATCCAGTCAATTGACACCAACTCAACGCTTAAATTGTCAACATGTAGTACACTGAACAACTTAAACCAGAGGCGATCTCAAAGCAAAGTCGAGTTGAGAGCCCCGTATTGATTTAAATATAATCTGGAATATATGGCGCATAGTGATCGCAGGTTTGAATGGAAAGATCGTATATCAAGACTGGCCTTTACCGAGACGATAAAAAGACCCAGAACTACATTCACTAGTACTATAAGGCTGCATCGACATGTCTACAATTTAAATGACATACATAAGCGGCGGGGCATCAAGAGGGTGGATCCACTCTGATCTTCGATCGGGTAACTTTTTGTGGAAAGGTGGCCGTTTCAGCCTTGAAAGTGGTCATATTAGGGCATCAAATCCATAACTTCTTAGATTCTCGGTGTAGATCCACGAGCGGACAAGTGTTCATTGCGAAAGTTCATTGCGAAACTTGGTGCAGAATGAAGCAGTCTGATGAACCAGAAACACAACCAAGAAGATTATGCAGGTCCGACATATTACTTGCGTTTCTCAGCAACCTTCTGCTCCGACGAAGACGAGCCAGCCATATCCCACAGTCGGCTCTTGTAAGCGGGGAAGGAAGTGTGGTTCCACATGTTGAATAGGACACTATGGGGAAAATATCGGGTCAGCCGTCACGAACAAGCAAGGGCGGAAGAAAACACAGCAAGACGAAACGCACCTCTGGGTCTGATCCTTGTAGGCCTCATCTTTGACCTCCCTTACTTGCACTTTCATGCCGTCCTTGGTGAAAGCTATATTCTTGCGCTCCATCTTTTCGCGCGTATTTTTGCCTACATCTTGCATGATGCTGTAGACGACAAATGCGACCGCGGCGATGATGCCAACAAAGACGAGGAGCAGGATGAGGGGAATGATATTGCGGGCGCCCATGGTGGGGTTTGTTTATCGGTGGTACCGGAGGGTAGTCCGGGGGATTTTTGGGAAAAAAACGAGGCGATAGGTGGAATTAAAAGATGAGAACGGGCGGGGAAAAAAACAATGGACTATATGCCAAGAACGGGTTTCTTGTCGCAAATAGTTGTAGCCTTGGGTCTTTTTCTGGGCACTGTTGCTGCCTGGAGTGGATCTGGATGTTTGTTGCACAAGAATGCTATTTGAATTCCAGCGGGGAAAGGCTGAATATGAGACTCAGGGGGTTTAGACCTTCTAAGGTTGTTTCAACGGTCCTTGGAGTAGACAATGACGTCTGGTTTGAGGGGAAATGGCACGCGTCGTGTGGCTGTGTCCGCTTGTGTGGCTTCCCTGTTAGCCACTTCATTCATGTTTATCGGGAGGCTCCGGCCCGGTCCCGGGGCATTTTTGAGGTTAATTTTAGGCTGACATCTCTGACTAGATGTACTCCGTACGGAGTACATACTTGGACTTAGTCTACTTTGATGGGACGGGTTTGATGTACTTGTCACTAGTATGAAGATCATCTCTATCCCAACATGAACTAAAGCACCCCACTACCTAAAACAGGATGATCGATCTCGATCTCATTTGCGTCATCATGATAGAATTCCAAACTCAACGTAACTAAGCGGTGAATTCTCTATCTGGGGAAGCTCGTTTCTTCGAGAAATCTGTCTGGATGAAGGTCGGGACATTTCTCTACACATTCTAGTTCATACTCCCAGCAGCTCAGCCAAATCCGACGCGATGGCCGACATCCCTTTCATTCCGATCTTCCCCATCTGCTTCCAATGCGGCACTGATCAGAACCCATGCCACTGTAAAGTGGTTGGCCCGACACTCGGTAAGTTCGGTTCCTCATGCAGTGTGAATGGCTGAAAAATGAACCCATGTCTGACGAAATGTACAGGGTTTTTCACTACCGTTGTATCAGCGGTAAGTAAATATAGTATCTTCTCGGGCAACAACATAAAGACTCTCTTGCTTGACTCCAGACTCATGACAACCCTTTTTTAGGTTTTCTGCTATCCGCTATCGATCTTCTGCGGCTGCGGCTTCACTCAAACTGGAAAGGAGTATGTCCCGCTGTCCTGCTACTTCTTGATATCTAGACTAACAGATAATAGCATGCTGGGATACCCTGTCAAGCTAAATCAGAAGATCAGTAATGCCATTCCGTTCTGATATTGCGAGCTAGGCACTTGAGATATACTTGAAAGCTTTTTTATTGCACCTTAACCTTTAATCATTATCTCTTTTTTCCCCATGCGTTTGATAAGGCAAAGTACTTCCGCCCGCATACTTTAAAAACTGTCGAGTTTCTTCGTAGAGTCGCAGGGGATGAATGCTCGAGAGCTTCTGGTGACATTGCGTTTGGATATTAAAACCTTAACTAGCATATACTGTAAGAAAGAGAACCCAATGCGCCAAAATTGATCACCCGTCTTTCTCCATGACATGTATTCCCAAGACTACTTAGGTGGAAGTTTTGTTGGGAGCAGGCAGATAACCCGCAGAGTATTCTTCGGCTTCATCATAGTCTTGCAAATCCAGTCTTATCAAGGCTCCCTCTTCCAATAGATCTGCCACACTAGTCAGAGCCAAAAGCTGGGATCCAAACCCAGGCTGCTCAAACCAAGGCGAAATGGGCCCCAAAAGGACATCAAATTCCTTGGTCACCTGGTAGACATGGTAGTTGTACGGGAAGCTGCTGTTGGTTGGCGCGAACAGATTGGATGGTGGCAGGGATCGCTCGATATATGGAGCTCCAAGAGGTGCCAAGAACTTTCCAAATTCAGACCCGAATCTATCAAGCTTCTGGCCCACGCGGAGTGTAAAATTGCCAAGAATAGACGCATTCGTGGATGTTTGGGCAAATCCGTCGCTGTCTGGATAGATCCAGTAAGCCGTTGGGTCGGAAGCGTTCACGGTCCATTTCTCCAGGAACTCAATTGGGCAGAGCTCGCCGAAGCGGGCGTATGTCTTGAGCTCATTGGAGAGAGGGAAATATCTGGGGAGGACTTTCGGACCAAGTCGTGGGTCACCACAAACAGCAGTAGAGTTCACGTGGGTCACTCCCTTACAGGGGTCGGGGTAACATCTTTTTGGGTAATCCGGCTCCTAAGAAGTATGAGCATTTGAAACTTATATGGCCTGGTACCATGAAAGGGGTCTTAGGACTACTGACCTTGTTTGTAGTGTGCCTGTTAGGAGTGATGAAAGAAGAAGCTTGTGCTAGAGCAACCGAAAGAAGCACGGATATAGTTGAGAGATGCATGGTGAATTATCCTGATAATTTCTCTCTGTGGGTTCACCGAAGAAAGGAAACAGAGCCATTAATATACTAGAATGGCCAAAGGAGCATTGACCTTCCAATCTCGCGATCTACAGCGCTATTCAAATTCTGCGCCTAAGCTATGCAAGCAGATGGGTCTGTCCTACAGTTTTTCTCCCGGGTGTTAGCCACGCGCCTCTTTGAGCTCGCTTCATTCCAATCGGCGGCATTTTTCCCCTTGCTACTCCACCCTATTCTTACCCGATTTGTACGTAGTACTCTGTACTCTGTACAACATACAGGGTCGAATGGAATAGCCTACAATATGTTGAAGGTTTCGCACTCTCCATCCCTCGCAACTCATCCGACCCTGAAAAGATCACAGATATTCTCAGAGTACTGCAGAGTACATAATTTATTGACAATATGAGATCGGAATGCCAGATCCAATCGCTTATTTGAGAGCAAAATTCAATTATGCTGGGAGTATTACTCCGTACTCTATGGACCATTCAAAGAGCCCTAGAAATATGTGGCGTTTGAAAAAGCCAGCTGTGTTAGCTGAGCTCGTAATCCACAAAAACGCAGATGCGCATAGCTTCCTATTTAGGAAAATGAGAAGCAACTGTACGTACGGAAGCACTCCATACCTGCAGGCGCATTAATTTGCTCAATACTCTTCCCAACATCTAGCAAGAATTATTGCTCGCGTTGTTATTACAAGTCATTTGATTGTTATTCCCTTGTCAGCTAGCATTGGTTCGGTTTATTTCACTTGGTTATTTCCATTTGATTTCAAACCGGGCGAATAAGGAGCTAAAGGGCAAAGTAATATGAAACAATCAATAGTCCGTGATCTACGTGCATGAGCATGAATCTATTCGGCCATGAGATTCGAGATCCACACCTTGGCTTGCAAAAGACGATTATTTCCTTCACAGGCTGAAATCTGAGATCGAGTACTCCGTACAAAGTAGAACTTAGCCAATAACTGTATGATACAGAGTGGATCCAACAGTAGTCGCGTGACCAGGGGTACAATTCAGGGACAGAACACTTCTAATCGTTAGGAGAGAAGGGGAATTATCTATCATCAACCTTGCATAGGCAACTGGATGTATCGAATTGACGCATCAGTGACCATATTGGTTAGCATTGAGCTGCAAGCAAATGATCAAACTTGTACGGAGTAGTACTCCGTAAAAGCTGAATCTATTTAGCCAAAGGATTAGACCCGCTACAGGGCCACTTATTTTCTCCCCTGATGTAGGCAGGTGGGCTGCGTTAATTAAAGATCGGAAAGATCATAGAACTATTGATCGAGACTACTCCGCACAACGTACAGTTATTCCTATGCTAAGCCCTGATATTGCTTGATAGTACCTACAAAGCCCCCTTCCATTTCATTACAACAATCGACATCTTCCCTCGTCCCTTGTTTGGGCTTGTCGGAGCCCAGTCCTTGAATGTACCAACCTCCTCAAAGTTGTTCTTCTCAAATACCTTCATGCTCCCTATGTTCCCAACAAAAAAGCTGCCTCTAAGAAGATGAAGGTTCATCCGAGGGATAGCCCAGTCTTGAATGACAGTTCTAACAGCAACACTCATAAT